GATGACCCCAGCTAAGACTCCTTATCAGTAGTGGAGAGGGTGTCTGAATGGGCTTTCCCCTTTAATCAGATTAGTGACTACCCTAATTGTCATCATAGAACCTACATCTAGTAACTGATGGAAGCAGGTGCAATGACCCACAGGAGCACTGGGCTGAGCTCCTGGAGTTCAGTTGAAGAGAGGGAGGAGGGATCTTATAAACAAGGGGGTCAAGTGCATGATGGGGAAAACCACAGAGACAAATGACCCAAGCTAGTGGGGGTTCATGGACTCTGGACTGACATCTAGAGAACCTGCATGGGACCAAACTAGACCTTCTGAATGTGGGTGACAGTTATGTGGCTTGATCTGTTGGGTGGGTCCCTGGCAGTGGTACCAGGACCTATCTCAGGTACATGAACTGGCTTTTTGGAGCCCATTCCCTGTGTGGTGGGATACCTTGCTCAACCTTGATATTTGGAGAAGAAGCTTGGTCCTATCTTGACCAGACTTTGTTGACTTCCCCAAGGAAGACCTTACCTGCCTCTGAGGAGTGGAATGGGGAAGGGTGAAAGGGTAGGAGGAGGGAAGAGAGGGGGAACTGGGGTTGGCATGCAAAATTAAAAAATAATTTTTAAATAAAACATCACAATAGAATAAATATTTATAATAAATAAATAAGTCAATTAGTAAGGAAGCATATATGTAAACTTAGTTCAAATTCCTTTAAATTTATATGACTTAAATCTAAGAAATTACTTATTATGGATTATATAAAAAGTTCCCAGAATTGGTAACACATTGACCTTTCTTATTGTATACTTTAAAAATGCCCATGTTTGCTCATGAATCATTAGAATTAATATTGTGAAAATAGCCAAGCTACAAAAAAATCAATCTACAGATTCAGTGCAATCTACATCAAAATTCCAATAAAATTAAATAGAAAAAAATCTTACATTTCATATGGAATCACAAATGAGCCAGGATAACCAAAACAATCTTGAACAATTTTTTTTAAATGCTAGAATCATCCTAGTCCCAACTGCAGCAGGCATCCCCTGCTAACTCACCTTCCTGCCAGAAAACTAGGCAGGCTACCTGCAGATCTCCTCTCCTTCTGCTCCCCCAGATGCAATCCTCCTGTCTCATCCCCAGTTTCTGCAGCAGAACACTTGTGGCAGCCTTCCCTGCTCCCCCCATGCTGTTCCCATCTCCTGTGGATTCCACAGAGCATCCAACTCATCACTTTATTCCAGCCCCCAAATTAAGCAGGTAACCCGTGCTAACCCAAGAGCCACTCACTTCAGGGCAACACATAGGCTGATGCGCATCCATACCTTTCCTTCTGCTCCTTCAGATCCAGTCCCTTCAGTCTCATCCATGGTCTGAAGCAGAAAACCCCCTTTCCTCTCTAAACCCACCCCCACTGGATCACAAAGGTCTTTTCCTCTAACCTTCCTTCCCCCAGCTCATCCCATCATCTCCGTTCCCAACACCAGGAGGCATACCTGATGGGGATGTCCTTCTGTATGCTGTGAATATATGTTTCTCTTATTGGTTGATGAATAAAGCTGTTTCAGCCAATGGACAGGCAGGATTTAGCCAGGCAGGAAATCTAAACAGGGATAGAGAAAAGTAGTAGGCAGAATCATGGAAATGCCATGTAGCTGCTGAGGAAGCAAGAGACCCAGGCATTACCATAAGCCATGGTCATGTGGAGATTCACAGATTAATAGAAATGGGTTAATAATTGAGAGAGCTAGCCAATAAAAAGCCTGAACCATTGGTCAAACAGTTTATAATTAATATAAGCCTCTGTGTGTTTATTTGGGACTAAACAGCTACAGGACCAGGCAGAACAGAAACTTCCATCTACACATATACATCAGCTAAGCACACCAGGGAAACAGAGCCACAGAAACCTTCCTACTAGGCAGCACATAGCCACCTCTCCTAAGGTCCAGAGAGGAAACAGAAACCAAGGAACAAAGGACCCACCCAACAAAAGCAGGTATCATCACCCAGTCCTATAATCTCAATCCCAGGTACCTAGAACTCAGTGTAAAATCAAAATCAGTAACAGCCAAGACACTACATCTCCACTGAAGCCCAGCAACTCTACCACAGCAGGCACTGAATATTCCAACATAGCTGAAGCTCAAGAAAAATACCTAAAAGCAACCTGAAAGAAGATGATAGAGAACCTTAAAATGGAAATGAATAAACCCTTCAAGAAATCCAGGAAAACACAAGCAAAAGGTATAAAGAAATTAATAAATACCCTAACGAAATCCAGGAAAACATGAACAGTGCAAGGAAATGAATAAATTTGTTCAAGACCTGAAGATGAACTTAGAATTGAAGATGAAAATCCAAACTGAGAGGGAATGCTAGAAATGAAATATTTGGGAATTTGAACAGGAACTACAGAGGCAAGCTTTACCAGGAGAACACAAGACATAAAAGAAAGAATATTGGACATGACAGATGATAAAAAATGGATACATTGGTCAAATAAAATGTTAAATCTAAAAATTTCCTCACACAAAACATCTGGTACACTGTGTAAAGACCAAATCTAAGAAAAATAGGTATTGGAGAAGGAAAAGAAACCCAGCTCAAAGGCCCAGGAAATATTTTCAACAACACACAGAAGAAAAATTTCCTAACCTAAAGAAGGAGATGCCTATAAAGAAGCATACAGAACACCAAATAGACTGGACCAGCAAAGAAAGTCCCCTCAGCACACAATAACCAAAGCACTAAATGTATAGAAAAGAGAAAGAATATTAAAAGTTAAAGGAAAGAAGAGCAAGTAAAAACACATAAAGGCAAACCTCTTAGGATGACACCTGACGTTTCAATGGGGACACTAAAAGCCAGAAGATCGTACACAGATGAGAAGTAGACTCTAAGAGACCACCGATACCAGCCAAGAGTACTATACCCAGCAAAACTCTCAATCATTATAGATGGAGAAAATAAGATATTCCATGATAAAACCAGATGTAAGCAATATTTATCTACAAACCCAGCCCTATAGAGGGTGCTAGAGGGAAGACTCTAGCCTACGGATGTTAACTACAACCATAGAAACACAGGGAATAAATGACCCCAGACCAATAAAAATCAAAGGAAAGGAAACACACACACCCCATCATCATCATCATCATCATCATCATCACCACCACCACCACCACCACCACCACCACCACCACCACCACCACCAAAATAACAGGAATCAACAATCATTGCTCATTGATATCTCTCAATATCAATGGCCTCAATTCCCCAATTAAAAGCAACAGACTAACAGTATGAATGGGAAAACAGAACCCATCACTCTGCTGCATACAAGATACACACTTCAACAACAAATGTAGACATTTTCTCAGGGTAAAGGGTTGCAGAAAAATATTCCATGCAAATAGACCTAAGAAAAAAGCTGCTATGTCCATTTTAATATCAAAAATAGACTTCAAACCAAAATAAATCAGGGAATATAGGGAAGGACAGTATAAAGTCATCAAAGGAAAACTCTAAAGGACATTGCAATTCTTAACATCTATGCCACAAACACAAGGACTCCCACACTAGTAAAAGAAACATTACTACAACTTAAATCACATATTGACCTCCACACACTGATAGTGGAAGAGTGAAATACCCCACTCTCTCCAATAGACAGCTCATTTAGAAGAAAAAAAAAACAAAACAGAGAAACACTAGGGCAAATACAACCCAATAGCAAGGGTGATGGGTTTCAGAGGTCGAAATTAAGCCCTGGATCAAGGACACCTTCCAGTGGTGCTGAGACTACCTATCCAGAAACTTTTAGGGATCCAAGTCAATGCAGGACAAGCATGAGGGTCCAGAGTAACAAATAAAAGAATGGGCCCTGCTACCTACACAATCCTTTTACAGGAATTCAATGTAGTTGGTTGGATACATGCATAATTATAATACTGGGAAATAATGAATGAGTCTATAGTTATAAAGTATTCTGTTGTGAATGACAAGAAAGCTGCTGGATAGGGCAGAATTAGAAAATGGCCCACAACAAAGGACAACGGCCTGCTGGGGTATCCATTTGAGAGAAGTCCTTTTATGATTAGGGTCAGTACCTTTGAATGCAGTTTCTTGGCATGTAATCCACACCACACCATGTAAAGGACAATCCTGATGAACTGACATACAATTCTGTGATTATCATGAGTTATTATGAATGTAATTTCTATGTGTGCAATCTCAACCATGCAAGTTGGGGACATGTAAATGAGTGTAGTCCAAGTTGATTGAAATGAAATCCAGTTCAAAGGCTTAAGTCGCTGGGCACAGGAAGCTTCTCTGTGATTACACTATTATGTGCCTAGTAGTTTTGAATTCTTGAACCATGTTGGTGAAAAATCCTGAAGGGGATCAACCTCCATTTTCTAGTCTCTTGTTAGCAGCCTTCCATTTACAGAGCTATGTGAACTCTTCCTATCCCACCTCAATCACTCACATACCCTGCAGGGAAGCCACACTGCTCATCCGTGATGCAATCTTTCCTGGGGTGGGAGAGGCATGTGTCAGCCAGGTGCAACCTATAAATGCAGGGCCTGCCCTACACCGCCAAACACTGTGTGGCTCCTCTCCTTCTGTAAGTGAGCTCAGCTTCCCTAGGCAGGAGGCTGCTACCGGGTTTCTTCTTTCCCTCCTCTGCCTGGATCCCTCCCCTCCCCCCACCTTCCTTGCCCTGGCAACTTTGTAGCTACCTTCAACTTTGTGAAAGTTTCTTGCTATAAAATTCTTTCATTTTGTTATTCTCTACATTGTCTAAAAGGCATCTCACACACAGGTGTGACAAGATGGTACCCCACTGAGTGGCACCTTGTCCTTTCTTTTATTGCGTATGTCCCTACCTTTCTTACCTGATAGAGGCCATAGAGGAGATGGAGGCTGCTGGACAGCCCCTTCCTCTACATACACATTTGCTTCTCCAGGGTTCCAAAGCCTGCAAGAAAAGACAGCCCTCAATGTCCCAGATGGAACAAGGCATGGAGACCATCATCAAAACCTTCCACCAGCACGCTGGGAAGGAGGGAAACCCAGACACCCTGAGCAAGAAGGAATTCAAACAGCTGGTGAATAAGGATATGCCAAACTCCCTCAAGGTAAGGCCTGATCAGTGAGGGAGGAGGGTGCAGCCTGCAACAGTCAGGAAGAAAATTCCAGCACCTTCCACATAGAGGCAGCCAGGGCTCAGCATTGGACAAATTTAGATACTGACAGTCAGGAATTGAACATATGTAATGTGCGATACCCTATTCTGGGAAGAAGCATGTAGAGGAGAACCTGAAACCGACTATATGATGATGGAGACATAACATTAAGAACGAAGACAAAGCCAATACCCTGGGAACGTGGATCAAGATAAAATAGAGTCCTGGGATTGGTCTGTGCCAGGTGCAACAGAGGGAGACCTCCCTCTTTGAGGTGGTGACATTTGAGCTGAGACTTTATCCCTGGTAATGAACACACTTGAGGACAGCTCTTGACTGAATGCTGAGGGACGCTAAGCTTTAACTGGGGACTCCCAGTAGACCTGAGGGCCTAGGGTAGACAATGCATGAATCAAGAGCAGAAAGCACTGTCAAATGTCAGTAATGCTACCTGCTCAAAATACGCATAGTCACTTCTAGGTGATGGGATTCATTCAAAAGCCTTTGTGTTCTCTTTCCAAATCCAGGCAAACAGAGCCTGGAAGGAAACAAATAACATGTGGCATGGGTCCCAGTGTCAGCCAATTATTATGCCTAGCCCTGTAGACCGGTCAGCAGCCCTCTTAGAGTACCTGTTAAAGTGGAGAATGCCACTGAGGGAGATATTAGGGACAAAGAGAGTTCCCCAAAGTGAGAATCTCAGGTGAGCAACGTGCTACTTCCAGGAAGGCAGGGGGTACACAAGAGCCTCTCTAGACAAGTCTACCCTCTGGATCATCCCTCCATGACTCCATCATCTCTCTCAACATCCATGGCCAAAGCATCGGGATAGAGCAAGGTGCACTGGCCTTGAAGATGGGCTCATAGGGCTATGAAGGGGACTTAGCCAAGATGTCCCAGCCAGTGAGTGGAAGAACTGAAACTGGCTGGTGCTCTCTGCTACATCTGGGTCCTCCCACTTCACATAAGTATCCCCTACACTTTATCACAGCCTTTGAGGTCAGCAGAGCACCTACCCCTTCAAGACCCAGTAAGGCCTGTTTTCCTGAGTGCCTCCCCACTAAGTACAGGGAGGTTCAGATTCCCCCCTGTCAGGTGTTAATTTGTATGACTTCCACAACCTATAGGAACCATCCACTTTTGGGACTACAGACTCCTAAGACCTTCTTCACAGCAGATTTTATTCTCACTTGTTCGAGTGAACAATGAGGAATATTTCCAGACCCACATACAATTCTCTGACCTTCTTCTGTTTACAGTCCTAGTGTCCAAGTTGGGGGGCTGTCTCAGGAACAAACTAGAAAGTGTTTAGCACAAGCTCAGCATCTCCTCTACCATGAACACTCAGTCCATCATTTCTGTGTTTGCATTGATCCCTGAATTTGCCATCTGATCACTCAAAGTCCTCCCTAGTTCACTTCTGTGCCCATGGCCAGCACTAATAGCCAACTCTCTTCCATCCACAGAAAGTAAAAAAGGATGAAAGAGCCATGAATCACATGATGGAGGATCTCGACAGAAATAAAGATGGTGAGGTGGACTTTGATGAATTTGTAGCCCTGTTAGCTAAGGTATTGATTACAAAACACGAGGCAATTCACAAGAATGAGTCCTCACGTGGCTATGGCCGTGGTCCCAGCTATGGGCCAAGCCTCAGAGAGGGTGGCCATAGCAACTGCCACAGCAAGTAATCAGAAGGCCAAGCCCTCTTGTACCTGCCCAAACAAAGCTACAGAGAATGTTGTGTCATATATCATTGGTCGTGGAACTGTGGGATGGGGAACAATAAAGTCTTTCTGTATGCAAATGCCCTCCATGATGCTTCTGTCTTCTGGACTTGTCCTTCCCAGTAGCCTGCTCCTGCTAACAGCTCAAGCCCACCTCCCATTTCATCATAATGAAATAATCACCAGAAACTTGTCTGTCTGCTCTGAACTCCTAGGAGTCACCTGTGACCGTGTGACCATCTTGAGCTTCTGCCCTATATTTGAGTGGGAATTCCCATGTTTAGCCTGTCAATGTGGCCCTTGTCACTGCAGAAACAAAAGCAGCTGGTCTCTGCTCAGCCATTTCCAACCTAGTCCCAGCCCTTCTTCACTGTCCACAAATTCTTCTAACAGAACCCTATTCTCTAAAAAGTTTTCCTGAAATGGACCCAGGGCAGTGGTATATCTGCGGAGGAATACTTTAACTCTAGCAGTGGGAGCAATGCAGTGGCAGTGCCTAAAAACCCTTTAGGAATCAATGTTGCTTTCTGGGTGAACTTACAAAGACTACCATATCCTTATCTATGGAGGAAGGTGGTGGTGTTTTCCGTCTGATCCACCCTGGATTTTGGTTGTCTTAAAGATGAGAGGTAGGAGAACTTTCTCCACCATGTTCCCATTTTCACCTAGTGAAATCTAGGCTTTGAGGAGAGAGGATACCTAAACAACAAACACTTCCATGCCCAGAAACTACTGAGGGCCCTGTGCTGGCCCAAACAACAGCCAAGGGCTTGGTTGGCTTCTTCCTCCTTGCCTGACATTTTCCTCCTCCAGCCTCCAGGTTCTGTCCCTCATCCAAACGGTGTCCAGACTCTGCTCTTCCTAGTTTTAGACTCTAAAATTTTACTTAAATTTAGAGGGTGCCCCCTCCCTGGGGATGGATCACTGAGGATTAATTTCTCAAGAAGGAAGGGACAACAGGGATCACCAACAAATATCATGACCAAGATACAGCCACTAAAGGAACTCATAAAACTAGAGCAGGACTGACAATACCTGGGAACCCAGGCTGTGAAGATGCTCAGGTTCCTTCTCCTTGGTAAGCAGCCATATTGACACACTCCCTTAGCTCCTTCCACTAGCAGTCCTCAAGAAGCCCTGACTTCTGGGCCTGGAGGGAGTCTGTGGACCATGTCTCTGACACCAGGAATGTCATGTGAGTGGAGATGGGTCTGTTCCACTTGTCTGAGGGCTATGATGTCAGGTCACTCTCAATTACTGTCCCCATTTTCTTTATACACAGGCTGATGGGTAGGAAATAAAAGATTATATCCCAGGAAATAGTTCACTATGTGTCCTCATTAGAACTTCAGACCCTGTAGCCATCATGTTCATCCATGATCCTTACCTCCCAAATATTATACTGCTTCCTTAAAACACCTTGACCTTTGTTTCCAGCCCTACATTAGGCATGGTTCTCTAGAATAACAACTTAAAGAATGATTATGTATGTGTATGCGTGTGTGTGTGTGTGTGTGTGTGTGTGTGTGTGTGT